ACGCACGCACGCACGCACGCACGCACGCACGCACGCACGCACGCACGCACGCACGCACGCACGCCCGCACGCACGCACGCACGCACGCACGCACGCCCGCACGCACGCACGCACGCACGCACGCACGCACGCACGCACGCACGCACGCACGCACGCACGCACGCACGCACGCACGCACGCACGCACGCACGCACGCACGCACGCACGCACGCACGCACGCACGCACGCACGCAACCACGCACGCACGCACGCACGCACGCACGCACGCACGCACGCACGCACGCACGCACGCACGCACGCACGCACGCACGCACGCACGCACGCACGCACGCACGCACGCACGCACGCACGCACGCTCGCACGCACGCACGCACGCACGCACGCTCGCACGCACGCACGCACGCACGCACGCACGCACGCACGCACGCACGCACGCACGCACGCACGCACGCACGCACGCACGCACGCACGCACGCACGCACGCACGCACGCACGCACGCACGCACGCACGCACGCACGCACGCACGCACCAACGCACGCACGCACGCACGCACGCACGCACGCACGCACGCACGCACGCACGCACGCACGCACGCACGCACGCACGCACGCACGCACGCACGACGCACGCACGCACGCACGCACGCACGCACGCACGCACGCACGCACACACGCACGCACGCACGCACAAACGCGCACGCACGCACGCACGCACGCACGCACGCACGCACGCACGCACGCACGCACGCACGCACGCACCCCCACACACACACACACACACACACACACACACACACACACACACACACACACACACACACACACACACACACACACACACACACACACACAACCCCACACACACACACACACACACACACACACACACACACACACACACACACACACACACACACACACACACACACACACACACACACACACACACACACACACACACACACCCAAACACACACACACACACACACACACACACACACACACACACACACACACACACACACACACACACACACACACAAACACACACACACACACACACACCCACACACACAAACACACACACACACACACACACACACACACACACACACACACACACACACACACACACACACACACACACAAACACACACACAACCACACACACACACACACACACACACACACACACACACACACACACACACACACACACACACACACACACACACACACACACAAACACACACCAACACACACACACACACACACACACACACACACACACACACACACACACACACACACACACACACACACACACACACACACACACACACACACAACACAAACACACACACACACACACACACACACACACACACACACACACACACACACACACACACACACACACACACACACACACCACACCACACACACCACACACACACACAACACACACACACACAACACACACACACACACACACACACACACACACACACACACACACACACACACACACACACACACACACACACACACACACACACACACACACACACACACACACACACACACACACACACACACACACACACACACACACACACACACACACACCACACACACACACACAACACACACAAACACACACACACAACACACACATACACACACACAGCACACACACACAAACACTCAGACACACACACACACACACACACACACACACACACACACACACACACACACACACACACACACACACACACACACACACACACACACACACACACCGGCTTGTTAGAACCGATCTAAATTTCGGGTCACCGGGTCACCCACCTGCGATCCAGATTCTTCTCCAGGTGTGGTACCCGCTGCTGGTTGACCACGAGCTGCCGCGCAAAGCGTCAGAAGCGCGGCCCATGGCGGCTAGGTTGTTGGGGGAACCACTGGTGCTCTTCCGAGACGAGGAGCCTTTGGAAAAAGCGGGGCACCTATCTGGGGTTTTGTCTCAAAGTGGGAATCCCACATAACTTTGGTGAAAAATAGGAATAGGACCCCAAGATCCTACTTGGCAAAAGGAAGTAGGGAACCTACAGCAAAAAACATCACATTCCTGCCATGTGTCCAAAGCGCAGCCTGGTTCTTTTGGAAGGGGGCAAATTCATTACAGACATTCTTCAAAGTGGGAATCGGAGCCCAAGAATGGTTGGCGTCCTAGCGGTTTTCCTCGTAAACCCAACCAACATAACGGAAGGTAGAAAACAAAGAATCATCCTATATGGATTTGACATTTATGTGGGAACAGCCTGAAAATTAGTGTCCTGTACATGATGTCCGCCAAGGGGTCCGGGACCCACGAAAGTTCACACCCAGGTTGCTTGTAAAGGGGAACCAAAGGGAAACTATGGTTTCACACTCACACAGATATAAACACCCACAGCCCCTACCTGGTCTGTGTGGATAGCAAGGCCGAGATACATTGCAACTATTTTTGGTAGGCCCGGAGGCGAAATCCTCACTCTTGCGAGAGATTACTCAAGGGGTTGTTCAAAGTCCCCCATGACCCCATTGTCACTATTTGGGCCATAGGTGTCCTTTTTGGTTGATTTGGTTAAAAAAAAGAGGGCTCTGGTTTACTTGGTGGTAAAATCAACTACCAGGGCCATCAATTTTCCCCAAAAGGACACCTATGATTTGGGCCCTTGCAGCCCCTTTGCGAGTTGACCCTTGAAAAAAGCGGCGTGTCTCGAATGCCAGGAGAACCGTCCTAGATGCCTCGCGGACCGATGCCCTCACAAGAACGCCAAGCTGAGCGTGGGCCGCGTAAGGCAAGGCAAGATGGCGGCTGGGACCCAGACAAGCCTTGGTGGCTCCCAGCCATGCGGTTCCTTAGCTTTTTAGCCTTTTGGTGTTTAGTGGTAGCTTCCATTTAACCCACTAAAAGTGAGTCGCTTTTAGCCGGGGATCAGTTTGGGCAGCCCAGAAACATGGGCGAGAGTGTTGACTCAAAGGTTGCGGTGTCTTCATTCCAAATTCACTGGTTTACATGGGTTTTGTTCCATTTGCCAGAACCATCTATTTTTCCGAAAGGCCACCTATGGCTGGGATCCCGACAAACAGTGTTGAGTCAAAGATTGTGGTTTTCTGAGGGTAGCTTCCATTTCCATTCTTTCCAGGGATCCTTCTTTCTAGAAAACCTCCGGAGACCCAGGGAAAACGGCTGGTTGTTGAAAAGAACGATGGCTGAAAAGAATGCATCAGCCCGTAGAGTTTCTTCATTCCGAATTCATGTGCTGTTCCTCGGAAGTTTTGTGAAGAAAGGAGCAGTCCACTTCGATCTCGGCGCACATGATAGCTCTGTTCTGATTCGAGAGATGGCTTGTGCTCTGGCAAACCTGCATCTTGCGGGCCCGATCGCTTCCATTAAATCTAGGTTGTTCTTTGTAATGTTTATTAGAATGAGCAGATCCAAATTGGCACGTGTTTCCCCTTGTTCTGCCGAAAATTCCCCCCCCCCCGCCCCCCCTCCCCGCCCCCTCCCCCACCGGGTGTGACACCCCCTCCGCCCTCCCTCTCACATGAGGAGTGCTTCTACCACGGCTGGCAGTTCGATTCCAGGAATGGCAAGGTGGATTGCATCCCGTTCCTGCTGCCTGGCCGGAGCATCCCGCCCCAGGCCAGTGACGCGGCCAGTGACGCGACGCCCGGCCGCTTTTTTCTTCTTCATAAGGGTCCATAGGTGTCCTTTTTGGTTGATTTGGTTGAAAAATAGAGGGCGATCCCTGGTTTGCCTGGTGGTTCAATCAACTACCAGGGCCATCTATTTTCCCAAAGAGGACACCTATGTAAGGGTCTTGATAGCCGGCACAAACACACACAGCCTCATTTGGAAGCCTGTGTGGCCCCCATGGCCCGTGTAGGGCCGCGAGAAGTTTGCTGAGAAGTTCTTTTGCGCCGCTTCGGGGCGAGAAGCGCCGTTTTTGGCGCAAGAGAAACATCGCCAGGCGCAGACCAAGTCCTATCCCTGTGTGGAGAAGTATCACTTGATCTGGGTGTGGCCCGGAGAGAGCCAAGCGGACGAATCTCTCATTCCCTGCCGCTGGGACGGTTGGAGGGCGGGTTCTGGGCAAAATGCCTCATTTGGTCCACCTGTTTGGATCACGTGTGTCGTCCCTGGCTCTCGCATGAGGAGTACTTCTACGGATTATTCTCTCGCGCTGACCTTTCCTTGTCATGGGCTTATTCTGATTCACGTGGGAGCCCTTTGCAATGTTGTCAAACCAAGGTAAGGATGGTGGCCATTGACTTAGGACTCACATGTCCAGGTGCCGGTCCTGAAATGTCCTGAACAGTCGCAACGGCTTCCTCTTGGCTTGCCTTTACATGCCAAACGGGGTCCAAAATCCATTTGGAGACACCCTTGCATCGCATGTACATTCCAAGATGATGCAAAGAGTTGTATCGAAGAAAAGGCTTACTTTTGAACGGAGGAGCCAGCAGCTCCACTTGAGTTCCTCTTTTGCGCTCACTTAAACGCGAAGGCTCAGCCCCACTTGCACAGAGAGCTTTCTTTTGAACAGAGTGGACACCGTTGGACTGGAATCCGGCCAAGCAACGACGTACCCTTCGAAATCTTGTTGGGCTTCCGTTCGGTCCGGCCGGCTAGAAGGCGAGCCCGTTGTGTGCGGTCCGCTTTTTATAAGGATCATTGGCCCGGGTTTCCCTAAAAAGACCCGGCCCAACAGGTTTTGGGTTCCCAATTTTTAGGAGATAGCCACAGTTCCGACCGGGTTTTGGCCTTCATGGGTGGTGAACTCGTTTTCTGCCCGCCCAAAGCACCGGATGGTTCTCTGTTGGTCTCCCTTCAAAGCCACAAAATGGTGGGCTGCCAACTCCAAAAGACGAGCCGCCCATGCCGAGGGTACCCGGAGTTCTCGGACGAAAAGGCCAACTTCTGGGGCCGGTCCAACGAGTGCCCGGTGGATGCCTCCCTTTGGCTAGAGAACTTGATGGATTTGGCGCACACGCCCTTCGCGCATGACGGGCAGCTTCTTGACAGGTTCAGTGGGGTTTGTCTCAAAGGGGAAGTGGCTGGTTTCCTTTTGGTGGGCCCTTGGGAACCATTTGAGACGTGCCCGCACAAAAAGATCGACCCAGTTTGTTTAATTTTTAAATCCAAGGAGCAAGGCGTGGCCAGGCCTCCGGAATGGGTTCGGAGCATTGGTCCTCCCCCATTGATGGTAGTCAAAGGGGCGAAAGGGGTGCTAGGGCTGGGTGGTTGCAGGGGAGGAGCAGGGTGGAGTCCCGGCAAATGAAGGTAAGGCAGGGCAGGTGAGGGAAGGGATGCGGAAGCAATGTGGCTGTGAATTTCAAAAGGGAATCACTATCACCTCACAAGTGGGTGGACACTAATCTGGGCCCATCGAATTCTCATGTGTACCAAAGGGTCCGACCACTTAAAATTCACACCCTCAGTTGATCATTCTTTCGGCGGCGAAAGGGCGGTTTCAGTTCAATTGTTCGCTGTCTGAGCAACCAATCTGGAAAGTGCCTTTTGAGAAATCAACTTGTTTCACTTTGTAGACTTTGAGAAGCCCTAGTTAATTGATGTAGTCTTTTTTTTTTTTTTCGCGGTGGGCGGAAGCAACATCAAGACCATGCAATACAGCAACGTGTAAATCATCCACCCTCCTGTTCACCAACATAGAACCTGACGATTTGTCCCGGAAGACGATTCTCCAAAAGGGGCCATTTCTCTGGTGGGTTCCGTCGCAACGTGGACAGGAGGGAAATGGCCAAAAGCCCCACGGCTGGAACCGAACTCTTAGGTTCGCGAGTCGGGAGCAGGGAAGGCCCTTGAAGTATCACACCAAGGCGCGGGTTCGGCACGATTTTTTTTCGGGTCCCCAAGAGAATATTGGATTTGAAGTTCTGGTTGTTGTGGGTACATGGGAACCACCCCACAACCACGACACCACCGGGCTCCAAAGCATGACTTAGAGGTAGGCTGGCTGTGGGCTTGATGGTGAAACCCCCGCTTGAAATGAACCAAGGGACTCGTCCAGGTTTTGACACATTCCTTTGGGGGGCTATGCGTGCGCTTAGTGCTCGTTGCTTCATGGTCCTTCAGTTTTTTGGAAGGGGTTCTTGAACAACAAGCACCGCAGCAACGGTGCCGCTTTGGTGTCCTTTTGGTTTCCCTGGTAAACCAAGGTGAAAGGGGCCGCCTCCAAAACCCACGCATGGGTTGGTTTGCCAGGCCACCAAGGGCGGCCTGGTGGCGGAGACGGAGTTCTTTGGAGCGCCAGAGAGCGATCCCAAGCAAAGCACGGAGCGAGAGAGCGACAGCCCGGGTGAGGGGCGAGGGGCCGGGAGTTGCCTTTTGTTGGCGGGCGATATGGCTGAGAGTCATGAGGAACCCCTCTGCCTGAATGGTGTCCAACAGAATGTCTCGACCGGGGCTTTTCTATTTCAACGCACACCTATATTGGGCCTGTTTTTTTCAGGGCTCTTCTCAAAAACCTGTGGGACACGAGTAGCCATCTGCCGTGGCCACATTTTTCCAACAATCGGTTGAGGCTCGAAGTCGCCTCTGCCGAATCTCGTTGGACCCTGACCCCTGATGTTGTGCTGGGACAAGGCGTGTCTTCAGCACTAACCAGCACGAGGCGAACACTTTTTGCGGGGGCAAGCCATACATGGTGAGCAAAATGGTCTCAACACGTCCAAGAAGCGGACTTGGGGTGAAGCCAGGTGCAGAGAATTTTCATTAAGTCCTTATCCATTCCCCCTTTTCCCCTTTGGGCAACTGACTTGTGACATGTGCCCTTTGCCGGTTCCAGCCTGTGCAGGCACCATATCGCGTGTTTGAGTTGGCATCTCTCCCCGTTGCCGGCCACCTGTCTGGGTTGAAGGCTTTGACGTTGAGCCTGGTATGGTCAGCGCAAACATGTGATAAACGTGGTTGGTTCCGCTTTCGCTTAAAGAAACATGCAACCTAAGGGTCCCTTTGTGAAGATATAATTTAACCCTTTGTGATCCCTTAGCACATAAGGTACCAAGCACATAAGGAACTCTCTGAGTTCAAACGGACAAGACTTCCTTTGGGCCTTCGGAGCAATGGGAACTGAATCAGCCCTGGAAAAAAAATCCGGCACGCCGAAAACACATAAATAAATCCGAGCCTTCCAGGCTCGGTGGATTCCACTACTCAGTGGCCGTTGATTTTGTTAGGGAGGCATCGTCAAGTCAAGTACCCACCGGTCAAGTAACCGTTGGTTGGTGGTCTGGATTGGTGGCTTGGATTTGAATTTGAACCCCTTGTGGAGGGTACATGGAAAGAAAATCCTTCCTTAACCACCAAACCACAAATCCAAGCCACAATTGGAAGGGAGCTGAACCAGGTTCATGACACCAACAAAGCAGTCGTACTGTGGCTGGACCAAATCCATTTCGCACGACCTCTCAGAAACCTTGAATGATTCGATTCCCCAGTACAACACCAACCAAGGCAAACCAAGATTATGGTTTCTCGTGGTTTCTTAGGTGGTGAAACCATCCACAGTTGACTCCATATTAATCGTCCCCAGTTTATTGATAGGGGTTGTCCCTGAAATTGGTGGGGAATCAAACCACGTTTGGAGGGCCGACACAACCCCCCGAATTTAATAAACTGGTTGGTGGATTTATTTAATCATCACTGTCACTGTTGGAGGGGGAACACCTCTGTATTGAGATAAACTGGTTGGTTGAATAGTATAGGGTCAACATTCTCATTCGTTGCGCAGCCCGGATACACCGGTAGCACACCCTTTGTATATCTCTGTGATCCCGCTTATGTATTGGACCCCCCCCCTTCCTCCCCCCTCCTCCCCTCCGCGTTTGTCTCCTCCAGGAGTGGGTGGCACCCATCACCAGCATCGTGTCGGTGAAGTTCCCGGGCGGCACCTGGCTGCGTCTGCACTTCTACTCCGTCCCGATGGCTCCGGGGGCCTGCCGCTTCATTATGACCCTGCGCCTTGGAGAGCCGGAGCTGGACCAAAATGCGGGTGCTTCCGAGGTTCCTCAGGATTTTAGGCATCCAGTTCCTTAGATGCTTGAGTTGTTTTGCGGTCACAGGGCTCGTCCTTTTTGGTTGATTTGGTTTTGAAAAATAGGTCGGGCGATTCCTGGTTTCCCTGGCGGTTCAATCAACGACCAGGGAAACCCATCTGTTTTCAACCAAGAAGAACACCTATGCTTGCGGTGGTTCCTGAAATGCTTTAAGGGTGAAGGCCATCCGACCCCAAAAAATGGGGGCGAAGGCATCCAGTTCCTCAGATTTTAGGCAGTTTTCAGTTGGCTTAGTGGTTGGGTTTCCATGTTAAGTTTGCAGCTGGCTTAGTGGTGGTTTCCAGGTTTTCATTTTAATCCACTGAAAGTGAAACTTTTCGCAGGGGATCAGAGCCAGGGCAGCCCAGACAAATGACAGAGCCAGGGCAAACCGCAGCTTTGAGTCGTTGCTTCCATTTACCAAAGTTGGGTGTTCCATTTTTTGAGCAGCCAATATTTGAGGCCGGGTTTGCCTTTTATCGGCCTTTGGGGAAAGGCCAAAGGCGGACGTTCATACCCAGAGGTGGACAAAAGCAGCATGCAGAAATGCGTACCCAGGATATACTCGTTCTACCATTTGGTTTTTGCATGAAGGGATTTCTTGAATGCTCACAGGGTTTGACTGGCAAGTAAAACAAAGGCGGCTTCTTCCCTGGAAAATGAGGGTTCCAAGAGCCAAAAGGGCCTGCTGAAAACATGGGTGATGTGAGATGCAGCCAATTTCGGAAAGTTGACTCGCCGGGGGGTCTTTTGGGAAGGTTTTGGCCGGCTCATTTTTATGTTTTCCCTCATTTTTTTTGTTTTTGAGATGCCAATGAACATTTGGATGGTGTTGCTTTGCTTTCGTGGCGGTGTTCCCTGGTTACTGACCCCTAAGGCGGGCTGTGGGGAGGGGGGGGGGGGCTATCCCTTATAAACCCCTTCATAAGGCCTTGTTACGAGCTTATCCTTGGCTTTTCCCAGGCTTATCCAGAAAATAGTCCCCTCCCCATAGCCCCCCCCATGACGGGGTCACATGAGACAAGTTACCCATGGTCTTTTGGGACCCCGTGTTGGTTTCAAGGGCAACCGCCAGTTTTCCTTTTGGTCTGATACAACAAAAAGGACCTCCCAAAGACCTGTCCCCCCTATATAGCGAGGGTATTCCCTTGAAAGCCACAGAAGTGGTTGGATTAACGAGTGATCAACCACAAGGTACGTGTCGGCTTCAAGAAAAACCAACAGTTTTCCTTTCAAACCTGAAAAATGGGGGGCACCAACTCCAAAAAGGACACCCACAGTGGCTATGAACACAGGTGTCCTTTTTGGTTGATTTGGCTTTGAAACATAGGTCGGGCGATTCCTGTTTCCACCCGGTGGTTCAATCAGCCAGGGATATCCATCGATTTTCAACCAAGAAGGACACCTGTGGCTATGACAAAATTCCGACGCCCCCCAGATCCCAGGTACCGGGACTGGGGCTACCTCTTGCAGAAGGCCATGGACGCGGCCGAGTGGTTCCCGCCCCTGCGCGCCATGGTGGCGCAGATGGACATGACGGTGCCCTTTCAGGAGCGGAGCCCCGGAGATCCGTTGGAGATCTCGGCCGGGTGAGATCTGTTTGGATTTGATCGCGAGATATTATTTTTTCTTCCTGGGTTTAAAGGGGATCGATTCCACGACCGGAAGCGTTTTGTTGTTGTTGCATATATATATATATATATATAACCAAACAACAACCAAACACTTCTCACGTCCCGAGTTCCTGGACTTGAGCCACTTTTTGGGTTTGGACCATCTTGGTAAACAAAGAGTTTGGGGACCTTTTTCGGCCCATCAGCTACCCTCCCACGAACGTGGAACCAGGCAAACCCGGTGAGTTTCAAAGGGAAGAACATGTCTTCCATGAATTTCCTGCCTGTCAGGTTCCATGGTTCGGGATTTGAAGCCCAGTTTCTCCATGGGGAATCAACCCCTAGAATTGTTGTCGTTGGGGGGTTTTTTGGTTTTACCACGGTTTACGTGGTTTTGTTGGGAGCAAACCCTCTTGTTGTTGGGACACATTTCACATTTTTGCTTATTGTTCTTTAGTGGTTGAAATCCAAATCCACTTAACTGCCACAATTTGCATGTGTTGCTCCTCCAACGTCAACCAAAGAACGTCCAAACCACCAGTGGCAAGCTGAAGAACTTCCTCGGCGAGCGGAACGGGTGTAGTCCGTGGAACCGGGTTCAAGTGACCATCGTCGCAGAAGCCAGCACATTTCTTCCACAGGACATGGAGTTTCACCGCTCGCGCATCGTTTTTTTTTTTTTTTCCCCTCCGGAGTTTCCTGTAGCTGGCGTCTTAGACACAAAGATACCAAGGTTCAAGACAGGTTTCATTTTGGAAGGGATGGCTTTTAACTTCAATAAGGTTCCGAAATGGGATGCACAGCGCACTGAACCTGGTCGGAGTTGGTTTCCCTCAGCTTCGGCGTGCGGAGGAAATTGTCAAACACCTTTCCGTTGTGAAACCCAGAAAAATGGTCTTCAGAGGAAAAGGAAAATGGGCCCAAACCATGTTCCATGTTTGTCCTGATGGTTTGTGAATCTTTCCTGGGAGTAACACCCATGAGGGTCTTTCACGGCATCGCATTCCTTATTTCGGGTTGGTGAATTCCTTAACAATTCAAGGTTTGCCTAAGTGAAGGTTGCCCGACCAGTAGACTTGAGCCCCCCCCCAGCCCGCCCGGCGCGCTTTGGGCAGGACATGATCAGCATGACTGGACAGGCGGGCGAAAAGCGAGGGTCGAGGGGACGAAAAAAACCGCGAGTGGCTCAAAAGGAGGTGACTCCGAATCAGAGGACCCGGACCAGACGCGATCCAAGTACGGGTTTAGATCGCCATTCATTTCGATCCCATTCGAAGCAAGTCAACCGGTGAGCTGCCGGCCTTTGGGAGCTCAAACTGATAGGCTTCCAAAACGGTGGTCAATCACAAGGAGAATTCTCTGAGGAGCTTTTCTAGGTTCCATGTCACTCAGGGCATTAAGGGCCTTCAAGCAAATGACCTAAGGTCTGAGTTTGGCCCAGATTTGGGCGTATCTTCTTTTGGGACCACCCCCTTTTGCTTCCGCGCAAAGGGAAACAAACATGAGCCACAATCAAAACTCGGGTGAGTGAAGGCTAGCAAGGGAAGGTCCCAGCGAGAAATAGTGGCAGCCGCATTTGTAGTTCTTTACATTGTTTTGGGTACACCATTTTTGTACCAGTTTTTGATTGTGACTAACATGAAGCCAGCCATTCGATATGTGACAAAGCGCAACAAACAACAAAGCAAACAATAAACAAAGAGGAAGCCGGACGACAAAAATCATTTGTGTAGTCCCTCCTTCCCCCGCCTCCCCCATATGATGGATACTTAGGGTCTATTTTGCAACCTGCTTCATTCAGGGTATTGTGTTTTATCGGGTTTCAGAATCTGCAAAACATCTACTCTAAGCGTCCATGGCACCCCCCTCCTTCCGCCCCTCTTCTTGCTAGTGCGATAGGTAGGGCATGTGGGCCCATACCCAGGCTTTGGAATCCCCGAAAGCACACCACCAGCAAGGGATGGCTTGTTGAGAAGGGGGTCAGACTCTATGCAACTCATTCCGTCTCTCGCACTCTCTCCCACCATGCAACCCATTCCATGCACCAGAGAGGGATGGCTTGGGTCAGACTCCATGCAACTCATTCCATCTCTCGCATCTCTCTCGCACCGATCATTCCCGATCGCATCTCTCGCATGTCTCTCGCATCTCTCGCGCCGATCGCAAGTTGTCGAATCGGACGACGCCAAAGGCCCGCAACATGAAGGAGGGCTGCCCGCCGCTCTCGGTGCCCATCCAGTGCGACGAGCCTCGGCTTGCGCGGGCGGGCGGGCGGCCTTTTTCTGGGGGTGGTTTGGTGGCGCCGAAGTTTTGCTTAGCTGTGCTTTGGTTTCTTTTTTGGGTTGGTCTGGTTTGTTCTATTCGTTTTTTTGCTTTGTATTCTTTTCAGAGCTTTTTTTTTTTGCTTGTTTGTTTGCTTGCTTGCTTGCTTGTTTGCTTTGGTTGGTTCGTTCGTTCGTTCGTCAGCCTGCCTGCCTGCCTGCCTGCCTGCTGGCTGGCTGGCTGGCTTGCTCGCTTGCTTGCTTGTGTGCTTTTCGTAAATTCTGCAAGACATACTCTCTTCGCTTAACACAGGTTTGCTTTCCGCCCATCCCCACATTTTCCCGGGAAGCGTGATGAACGCATCGAGGAGATGGCTGTACACTTCCGCCGGTGGTGGGGCAAGGCGCGACTGGGCGGAGGGTTTTCTCCAAGGGTCGAATCTGCGTAGGGGCATCCACCCCTTGGGTTGGAGCTGGTTGCAAAAAAGAATTAAGGGTCCCTTCCCTGAAATGGCTGGTTTCCTTCTGGTTTCCACTTTCAACACCAACCGGTTGGGAAATATATATATATATATATTATATATATGCATTGTATACATACATAGCAACATAGCACATATATATATAGAGTTAGATATCGCGCGCATATATACATATATTCATCCTCTTGCTGGAAAAGTGGCTTTTTTGTTCTACAAGTGGATAGCTTCACCCTCGCCCCGCCCACACCATCCGAAGTATCAGCTTCCCCCCTCCCTAGTCGGTGGTGTGGTTTAGTGGGGTGACCCTCTACAAACACTCGGGGTTCAATTCCCCAAACCACCAGAGAAGCACAACACCTAGTCTCCACCGAGAATGGCATGCTCCAGGATAGTCCAAGCTTCACCTGATGCAAAATGTGAGTTCAAAGGACTCAGCCTTGTTTCAATTGGACCTTTCTCAAAATGGTACTATCCTATATGCCGCGATGACAACATCTCGGATATTCTCTCATATTCTTCGCCATCCGCATTTCAGCTGCCCCCCAATTGTTGGTTTGGGTTGATGGTTCGCGTCCTCTCAAGTGCAAAGCAACCCCAAAAGAGCACCCTCGAGAACAAACACAGGAGAAAAAGATGGCCCCACCCTTAGAGGGGGTGGACAGGGGGGAGTTGAAATTTCACATGGACAGGGGGCCCAAGAATGGGAGCAACTTGGAACGAGCTGGGGGTCGGATGAGCTCGCCCGCAACGAGTCCGTGGGGGGGTTCGGTGTCTCACCGGAGAGGCCTTTACCCGAGACGTCTGGTGGAAGGGCTGGAACGGCAAGATGGACATGGAGGACTCCTTGCGTTTTTCGTGAATTCGATGCCGAGGGTCCGAGCCCAGGTGGACATGCGCCCAAAGTCAGCCACATGGGTGCAGTTGTGCAGGGAAAGGGCCACTTTTTGCAGGCGGTTCCGTTCTGACCTGGTTTCTTAGGGGTTGAGGCATGCAGAGCATGCCAGGTGAGCCAAACGTCAATGGGTTGCAGCCTCACTGGCAGGACATGACAGAGTCGGCGCTGCAGGCTTGACTCCGCTTTTCCCCCTCCGAAGACATGGGCGTGGGTCAAAATTAAAAACAAAAGGGAATCGGACAAAAGCAGGTTTTAGCTTTTTTCCATTCGCCAGGGCAAGCCATTTTGGGGTTACCCAATTTTTGACCCCACACCCACATGGGGCGTTAATCACAAAAGGTTCTTTACATGGGATGAAATCCCATGTTAACTTAGGAGAACGAGCAATACGAACTTTTGCGCCGACAGATTGCAAGCTTTGTAGGCGTTGCTATGCACGAAGCCATACGCATGGGCCATCAATCACACAAAGAGTTTGACAATGGCGTATCTCGGTCACACGTGTGAGGCTGCACACACCAGAAGATATTCGGAGAAGTGTTCTTTTTTTCGGCGCTTTTGTGGAGGGCAGATTGAACAAGTCATCTCCCAAACCGCTTGGTCTGTGCCCTACTCTTATGCCATAGGCTGGCCATCTTGGTGTTGATGTTCTGGCCTGGAAGGCTTCTTGTGCGGTTTTTTGTTGGCGAGGCACACTTTGGGAATTCCAAGCTGCTCAGATCCAATGAAGTTGCCCAAAGGGTCCAACTTCTTCTCAGAGATCCAGCGGTTTACTTTTGGAAGGGGAGTGGGAAGGGAGGGAGGGGGGGCTATGGAAGGGGCCCTCGTGACGTTTTGGGACATGAAGCTTGATCCCTGAAACCCTAAACAGGTGGGTTTTGGTGGCTAGACAAATCCCAGTTCTTTGCTTGGTGGCTTTTGAGCCATCCGCTTTCTCAGGATTTTGGCGGGTTTTTGGTCGGCCCGAATTTCACCCACAAGCTGGTCACGTTGAACGCGGTGGATCCCACGAAAACGGCCAGATTGGTGTTGATCAAGCCGACTCAAGCCTTAGGCCTGCTTTGGCGCGGACGCCTGCGGCCAGTACGAGCGCGACATCACCTTCGCCGCAAACAGCGGCGGGTCCAGGCCCCCGAAACGGCCGATCCGAAGGAAGAAAGCACATAATGACGCTGAACAACTGGGAACACCTGGGTCGGTCCTTGTTTTTAGGGGAGCCCGAAATGACGGCTTTTGTTGTGGTTTTCACTTGCCCACAGGACCCAGAAATCAAAGGCGATCACCTTTTGGGGCCACAAAAAATGGTTACCAACCAGGGAAACCAAAGGTCACATCTATGAGTTTTCAGTTGTTTGTGGACATGAGTCCGTACGAAAAGACATCCACCAAGGGGTCTTTCACTCAAAATGGTTTTTGGGGCGCCTTTTTTTCAGATAATCGAAAAGATAGATAAATACATAGATTAAACACCACTAAAGCAATATGCGCACAAACCAGTAGACAAATCAACAAGGCAATAATCCAACCATTCAATAAACTTTAAGTCAGCACATCAATACTTCAACCAACGCACAAGTACATGACCAGATAAAGGAAACAAACATAAATGAATCTATCGATACACGATCAATTGTCACCATATAACTAAATAGCTTTCCAAGAAACTAGATATCTAAGTTACCAATTTACTGACTAGCCCACCAACTAACCATCATTAGATACATAGATGAGTAGAAAAGACGCTGAGTACCTAAAGTAAGTAAGTACGTAAGCAAGCAAGCAAGTAAGTGAGTAAGTAAGCAAGAGACTGATAGACTGACCGACCGACCGACCGACCGACCGACCGACCGACCGACCGACCGACCGACCTACCGACCGACTGACTGACTGACTGTCTCACTATCCAACCAACTAACTAGCCAGCTAGCCAGCTAGCCAGCTAGCTAGCCAACTAGCCAACTAACTAACTAACTAAACAGGAACAACACAAACAACTAGACAAGGAAGCAACTTAATTGGGTCAAATACAGACGTGTTCGTGCATACACGTATTACATGCATACGTACGTACGTCCACACAAGCAAGCATAATACATAGATGCATGAGTACGTTCATACATTATACATAGATAACATAGATAACATAGATACATAGAGAACATAGAGAACATAGATACATAGATACATAGATACATAGATACATAGATACATAGATACATAGATACATTGACACGGCTGGGGGGGTCCACTTTTCCGGGGGGGGGGGGGGGGTGGTGGGGGCGAAGACACAATTGCGAAGACAGAATTTGGGGCGGAAAATAGTTGCAGCCGAACATGGTGCGAAACCGAAAATGGGAGCGAGGACAAAATTCAAGGCCGAGATTCGCAAAGCCGAAATCGGGGGCGAAGCCGAACATGGGAGCGAAGACGAAAATTCGAAGCCGAAATTCGTGAAGCGGAAAGTGGTATGGCAACCTACTTGCATGGCAATGTTTGGTACGTACCCATGCCTATATTTGAAAGCTTTGGGCAAGCATCAAGGAACAGATCCAGTTGGGTGCGACCTGTTTTTGTTGAACCCCCGTTTGAATGGTTTTAAGGGGACCCCCACCATTTTGTAAGTTCCCGAACGTTAAGAGCCCCCCATCCATATTGGTTCAACTCTGGGCGTCAGGAATTGCCGGCCCTATGTGGACCGCTGGGCAACGACCCATTACAAGCGCAGCCCCTTCGAGTCCAGCTGGTGGCGTGGCTTACAGGGGCCGAGCGATTTTTTGGTATCTTCTGAGCGGTAGGATATGTTCTGCCCGTTGACATGGGGTACATGGGGTGTACCCCATGTTTGGCAAAAAGCGCCACCTTTGAAGTGGACGTTTGTGGAAGCCCCTCCTTTTGAAAAGCTCTGTCCACCGGCGGAAAACCTGAAAGGAGGCTCAGGTGAACAGTTCAGGGTTCCGTTTCAAGGAAAATCGTCCAAACCACCACCTCCGTCAGACTTGAACGGTTCTGTTCTGGGTAAGGGCAAAGCCCCCGGAACACCAAGCCAGGCCCCAAAGGGGTAGCTGAAGAATGGACATTTCGGGAGTTGAATAGAAGCTTCCGCCAGAGTCAGGTGCGGTTGCAGGTCTGATTTTGAGCCTTTGTCCCAAGGCCGAATTCATTTTTTGAGGCCCCCCACTGCAACGATGGGAAAGTCTATCCTGGAACTTACCCTCACGCTTTGAAGGGACACCACTCCCCACAAGTGATGTTTGGAGAACTCCTAGCCCGTGTTTTTAAGGTTGGACCCTCCCAAAATGGATTTAGGGTTTCCTTTGGTCCCCAACAAAACACCCATAAAGTTCACGTGGGAGCAATGGACCATGTGAGGAAGTCTCACGTTGGCTTTCTGTTCTGGGTGGGGGGCTCTCTAATTTTCGGTCGGTGAGTTATCACAATTTGCTACCTGGTCTTGTGCAAGCTGTTCTTATGGTGTTTGTGGGCTTATCTAATGACCATCTTGGCAAAACCCTCAGAAAGAAGGGCCCGGAACCTTCTACTATAATACCTAATATAAACAAACCGTTATATCCATCCTCGAACAAACCCATCAGACGCAATATAAACCTTAACACCATTTAGGTGTGGCTCAAGATTCAAATGGCCTGGGTGACGCAGCTTTTAGTCTTTGGTTCCCTTTCCCAAGGTGCCATTTTGGCACCATTTATTTGAGCCACAGCCGAATCTTAGAACCACCTTTGCCTCGGGTGACGGCATCCTCGGCGCGAGGTGGTCCACCTTTGCCTTGGTCCTCAGCGCCGGCTTGGCCGGCGCGGCCTTTACGGCGCTCTCTCGCCGCTGAGGCGAGAACCCGAGCGGACCATGAAGGTTACCCTCCACTGGGCGTTCCCAGCGAGTCGTCCGGTTCTCTTCGGTTTTTTTTTGTGTTTTTTGCTGGGTAAAGATGGCAGTTTCCATCTTTCCCACCAAAAGTTAGACTCTTGGCAGGGGAGCTGAGCACAACAATGGAAGCTGACAAGAGGTTGTCAGACGCTGCTTTTGGGGAAGCCCCACGATTGTCTTCCATGATTGTGGGGAAAAGGGTACGGCCTCACATGTTTGGTTTGATTGCACTCTGTTTCCAACCGGGGGACTTTGTGCAAGGAGTCAGTTGGACCATCCCAGTTGCGTTTGACTGGCTATTTTGTCCCCACAGCTGGCCCGGGACTCACCCAAACAGGCGAATGGAAGAAGGGGAGACACACACACACACAGAGAGCAAACGCAAACTCAGAACAGTAACACTCGTTCGGCTGCTCGATTAGCCTAAGACATCAACGGACAACTCACTCGTTCACTCTCTCACAGGCTTGCTTGGGCAGTAGTCTGGACAAGAACAAATGGTGCATTGTTTTTTCTTCTAGCCTCTCCACCTTGACTCAAAGGACACCATCGGCAAGGCCACCATTTCTGGGCGCCTCCCTATCTTGACACACTTATCCAAGTACCAAAAGAAAAGCAGCAAAAGAAGTTCGAAGCAAAATAGCTGGCTGATGCAGTCACCGGCCTGCAGAGCTCGCCACGATTCGTGCACAGGTGTAGCTTGGTGTCTCCCAGCTGTCCCCTTAGCTTTTTTAGCCTTTTAGTGTTTAGTGGTAGTTTCCATTTAACCCACTAAAGGTTGAACTTTTGGCGGGGGATCTGAGGGCAGCCCAGAGAGCTATGGTAAGTTCAAAGGAAGAAACGCCGGGTCTTCCGGGAAGCGTCATGACCCTCAGCCCCCAGAAACTAACGGCTAGGGTCACCCTGGGCTTCCTGATCTTGAGGATCGTCTTGTGAAGCAAGCGCGAACTGTTTCCTTCCGGTTTTGAACTCGAGCCAGGAGCAGTCCGTTGCTGCCCACTGCAACTGCTCCCTTACTATCTCCTCTGAGGCCTGATGGTTTTGACTGGGACTGCTTTTGACGCTATTTTAGATGTTAAGCCTTCGGACGGATCAGAATACAAACAAGTCATTTTCAGACGGGGGCAAAGGCTGAGGTATCAGGCTGTGGATATCTTCAGTTGTCAGAATGGTTCAGCGTCGGTCCGGCATGCGGCCAGGGGTTTCGCTGCCAGCTTTCAGTGTCTGACTGCATGCAGTAGGTGGCACCATCTTTGCCCAAGAGCGGCAAAGGCGACGGAGTCGGAAGCGGTTTTCCGGAGAGGCGTCATTTCCGAGCTGAACATAGGTCGGTGCGCCTTCCTGCCAGTTGAGGTGATCCGTGATATGTTTTTTTTCTTCATTCTGGCGAAGGAAGCTTGACATGCATTTTCTGACTCAAACTCAAACTCTGGAAGCCACCTTGTTACCTGCAGCTGGGGGACTTTTAACTTTGAATTCGCGCGGCCAGTTTTCGTGGCCATTTTTCGGCAGGCAGAAGCCCTGGCCCAGAGGGAAGGAAGCGGCAGAGAGACCGGAAGCCAGCAGAATCGGTCAGACCCCCAACGGGACTCCAACACGGACGGTGGGTTCAACCAGAGTTTCGGCTCAAGACAAGGACTTCCCGGAACTTGATGTTGGTTTATTTTGTTGGGGTTTGCCGCTTGCAATTGTCAGTTGAATCGAATCTTCTGCAAATGTCATTGCCAGCATCTGCAGGATGTGGATCGCCTATGCTTGGCCTTTCACGGAACTCCCATAAATCAGATTTGGCTATGTTTTCTAATTCGCATCGCATGCGTAAGGTGCGCGGCACATGGACATGGGGCCGGGATCTTCTTTGCTTTACATGCGTGTTTCTGGGGATTATTTTGTTATGAGCGTTTCTGGGGGTGATTCATAGTTAAACTGTGGGCGTTTTTCCATAACTTACCATTTTGGAGGGTGACCCTCTTCTGGAATTGCCGGCGAGTCCCTTTGGACTTTGCCCACCGACCCGTTCGAATCCTTCGGAGCTGCAAAGCCCGTCCAGCAAAAATGAAAGAATCCCGCGCCGCGACAACGGGCGGTAGGGGACGGTGGATTTTATCTGCAAATGGACCAAGGTGTATTTCTTTTTCCCCTTGCTTGTTGTTGATGAGCTTTGGTGCGCTTTGCTTGGATGTCAAGGTGTTTTCCATCAAGCCACTAAAAGTTAGTCACTTTTAGCAGGGGAGCAGAAAGCAACCGAGGGAAGTATTGGATCCCTTGCCCGAAGGTTGCCTGGGATCCTGAAATATCCGGCAACCTTCTGGCAACCTTCTGGGAATTGAACAAAGTCAGGGGGGCAAATGAAGCGAAGGGGTTCAAACAAGTGGTCGCCTGGCCTAGGCCTGGCGTTTGGCTGATTTTTTGGATCGCTTCCGTGTGGATTGGCTTTTTTTTTTGGGGGGGGGGAGGGAAATTCGTTAACCACTCAGTTTCCGTCCTAAAGACATCCCGAGGTTCAATCGCCATTTCCTGGAAATTCCCGAGGTTCAACCGCCATTTCCTGGAAATTCCGAGGTTCAATCGACATTTCCTGGAAATCCCGAGGTTCAATCGCCATTTTTGGGAAATCCCGAGGCTCAATCAACATTTCCAGTAGGCTATGGTCAATTTGCAGAGTTGGCTCTACTTTCCCCATGCCTATTACGGGTAGCAGCATATGTTGTCTGCATGAGACACTGGAAGGATCGCTTGGCTGGAGACTCTGTTTCTTGCCAGCCTTCTTTTTGGACTCTCAAGGGTCAAAGTCAGCTTGGTTTTGCATCAAACAACCCTACACCGAACATGCTACGCCTATGTTCTTATAGGTGTCCTTTTTTGTTGATTTGGTTGAACACTAGAGGGCGATCCCTGGTTTGCCTGGTGGTTCAACCAACTGCCAGGGAATTCCATCTATTTTCCCGAAAAGGACACCTACACCGAGAATCCTACGCCTAAAGAACTCGAACCGATCGAGCCATTGATCCGCGTGTGCTGAGGCACGGGGCCGGAGAGCTACAGCGTGGCGGTGTGCAACCGGGGACCGGGGGCCTTAGAGTTCCATCCCAGCCGCCTGGTGCCGAAAGACGGGCCAGGCGCCTTGGATGTTTCGACTTGGGGGGGGAGGGAGGAGGGGTCAGGGGGAGGGGGGAAGGCATTCTTATGAGAACAAAGCAAACTGGTGGCTACCAACTCCAAACTTTGGAGTTTTTGGGTTCCTTCTGGCTGTTGGTTGGTTGTTTTTTTGAGACTTTCACGCAATTTGCAATGGGTTTGCAGCAAATCATGCCAGGAGCCCGCGGGTTCTTTGTGAGCCCATAAGAAAACAGAAGGGGTGCTTTTTGGGATGTCACATCCCCACCAACACCCGGTCTTCCTAGAGAAAAAGGGTGCTTCGGAGCTTCCGTTCTTTCGGCTTGCCCGGGCTGAGCAGGATGTGCCCGGCCCAAGCCCAGGATTAGGTTTGGAGTCCTCAGATCCCGATCCTGGCAAGGCATAGCTTTGCTGATGTCTCGGGGAACCCAACGGCTCAAGGATGGAGCCCTTGGGTTTCAAGCCATTTGGCACTCTCACACTGGGGAATTGCTAACTCCCGACCACTCTGAACTACAGTTGATCCCCATGAACAATCTCACTCTAGTTTGGTCTTCCTTGAAGTTTCCCAGGAGTCAGTTTGGCAAGTAAAGGGGTTTACGACAGTTGCAGGGCTAGGTTTCCTTCTTTGGGTTTCTTGCCTTCGATTCGTCCACTGTGGCAAGGCACACCGTTGAAAGTTGGCACGGCAACTGGCGGTTGGGACACCCGGAAACGAATTCGACAGGTTCCCAAAGTTTGTTCGTTTGAGCTTTTCATCGGGGAATTGAGCCTTAGGGCCTGCGTCTCCAAAATCTGCCTTAGGCAGGTGGGTTTCCCTTATTCAAAGATTTGGACTGGCCCAAATGGGCAAGCTGAAGGAAGCTGTGAAGACGCAAATGAGAAGGGAATGTGTTTGCCAAACTCGGGCACTGCCAACTGCTGCCAGTTGCTGAACAAGAATGGGAGCGTGCTGTGCGGTTTTCTTTTTGCATTCAAATTCATTTGATATATAACACCCCTTTGGTTCTTTACTCCCCAGCTCTGACACCAAATGCGAAGATACGGCGGATATTCTACAAATGTGTTCTTCTTCTTTTTATCTTTCGGGTACCTTGTTCAGGCTGGTTTGAAGGGGCTGAGACACAACCAGAATCCATTTCGCGGGTTGCAGATGCGATTTTTTGAGACATACCAGATTGCAAGTGAGACATCCTAGCCCCTTGAGATTGGGGAAACTGGTTCCCCTGCTTCATCCACGAAGCGCAACCATTTGAGGACTTCTCATGATGACTTTCCGGGCTTTGAGGGGCCAAGGGTTCCCGAAAATTAAGGGTTTGGCTCATCTTTAAACCTACCGAGCCTCAAATACATACACTCAACAGGGAACCGCCCTCAAAAGTGGTACATGCTCAATAGGAAACCACCCTCAAAAGTGGCTGGACAGGAATCCGCACCCAAATGATGTCCATCATGTTGGGTCTTGGACCAACATCAGAGTTGATCCCCGTGGCCCCAGTTTTAGCCCAGCAAAAGCGAGCCCCATTGGGCCCCAGTCCCAGCGCTCGCCCCCGTTTTGGCGCTTGCGCGTGCTCGCCGAAGGCGGGCCGAAGCTGAAGCTTCTGGCGACCCTGCGCTTCGAGCAGGTGCCGAGGCCGGACATCGGAAAGTTCCGGGCTGGGGTCTGGGTCCGGCTGTTGTTGGTGCAAGGGTTGGGGGGGGGGGGGAGGTGTCCATGTTTTTTTGTTTTGTTTTGAAGGGGGGTTCACCATATGTGTGTTTTTTCAGGGGGGGGTCGTGTTAGTTTGTAGGGGAATAGGTCCTCCTGCCTGTGTTTCGGATCCTGCTTTTTGGACCCCACCTGTGTTTTGGACCCACCTGCTCTCTTGCCCCTTCCTGCTTTTGATTTGGATGTCCCAGCACATGTTTCTCGTTGGTTTCCGTCAAACAACCTTCAAAGGGTTCGGCCCCAAGATACACCCGTGTTTCTCAGTCATCTACACGCCCTGCCCGACTCTTCGTCTTTCGCCCCCCTTGTGAGCCCTTCCGCCAATCACCGGCTGCCTCTCTACATGGAGGTTGAAACCCAACCACTCAGCGGGCACTGCCCCTCAGGTCCCTTAAACATGCTCAAAGTGAACACGTCCCCACCTGCCCCGCAAGGAATGTCACCGGGCCCCAAAAATGCGAGTTTTGACCACGCTCTGCCCTCCTTCCCTTCCCTTCCCTTCCTCCCTTCCCTTCCCTTCCCTTCCCTTCCCTTCCCTTCCCTTCCCTTCCCTTCCCTTCCCTTCCTCCCTTCCTCCCCTTTCCACCAAAAAAACACACATGTGTTCTCCCCCCTCAGCAGACCCCTTTGGCCCCCACCTCCACGGCCTCCTCCCTTTCCGCCCCCCATCCAGGGCCCGCGCCTGCGACCCGGGCTTCTGGGCACTGGCTTTCGCGCAGTGGGTGCCCGGGGCCACGGAGTACCACCGCGCCGAGGCGCGGCGGGGACGTGTCTCGCGCGCCTTCGCGGGCGCGGGGCGCGTGTTTGGGGCGCTTGGGGCGGTGTTCGGGTCAGGCGGTGTTGTGGTGTTCTTGGCGTTCGGAGGCTCGTGGTGAAAGGGGGGGACCAAAGAATGAATGGGGGGTTGGGTTGGGGGGTGTGGGGTTTGGGGGGATTGGACCGGGGATGGTTGCCGTGGTTCTGTTTGGGTCCCCTCGAGACTCCTCTTCTTCCGGTCTTGGGAGCTGCCCTGAAAAGAGCTGAGGGCTAAATCAGAGGCTTCTTGGCGGCTTTTGCCGCCGCTGGCCGGGGGGCCATACTCAAAACGCGGGTAATTGGAGGTTAACAAGGGGGCCGTCGCATCCCTTTCCCCCTTTTTTGCCGATCATGCAAGTGGACAAGGGGCCTTTCCAAGAGGATAATCGTCTTGTCAAAGCCTTGATCCACCAAAAAGCCGCGCGCTTGGAGGTGCTTTACGACGTGCTGCTGCCTTGGCTGGCGGGTGGCCGGATCAGTGAGTGCCTAGCAACCGAAGCGCGGTTTAGCCGGGTCTGGCGCACTCCCTGTGGGGGCCCCGGACGCGTTTTGCTTTGGGGGGGATTTGTTTGGACGTGTCTTTGTTTTGAGGCCTTTTTTGGTCGGCCTGCCTTGGGAAGCCAAACGAACAACCATTTTTGGGGTCCCCTGAAGCAAGACACAACCCAGTTTGGTGGGTTGTCTGCGTGAATCAGTTGCTGGCTAGTTGGTACCTCGAGCCGAGAGGCCCAGGGGCCCGCGGTGGAGGATTGGCCTGGGCTTGATCAGTGTTCCGTGCGGCCCACAAGTCACATGGGTCACTTCTCCCACTTTGGCGGGACATACCGTGGACGCCCGGAAAACAAATCATATTGCAAGTTCCGGCACTTGGGATGTGGACAGCACCGCTCACTGCGAACTCCTCTGCCCCAGCTACAATGTGGAGGCCAAGCGCGTAGCCAAAATATTGCAAGTCCAACACTGAATTAGGGGAGTGGGGGCAGCAGATGTCATATCATAAGTCATAGTGCTTCTTTTAGTAGACCGTGCAATCTGTTTGTTTTCTTCGCACTTGCAATATTGAGGGGTTCGACCGTATCATGTGTTTTAGTGCTTTCCCCCAACGGAACTCCGATTATTGCGGTTAGCTGTGGCCCAAGCATTCATGCGCCGTGAAGGCCTATCCATGACTTAGCTGTTCAGTTTCCAATCTTTATGCGTTTTGTAGGCCAAAAGAGTTCAAGCTGTTTATCGCGAGTGTGAGCAGCAACCGTTGGTTGGAGGGGCGCCACGTACTAATGGACAATGTTCGAGTTGGTTTCCTTCACAACTGCTAAGAGAGGTTCGTTGGGCGAAACTAGATGGCACCATTCCTCCCAATTTTGGGTTAGCCATCCCCTTTACTTATGGGCCGTCTACTTCCACCCCGGATCAAAAGCAAAGACCTGACCCATGAATCAACAGGGAAGCCATGGACTTTTTTCGCCGAGGTAGGTCCAACACTGCCTGCATGAAGAACTTGCTGGAGGCGTGGGTTGGGGGCTGTGGTCTACCCTCCCCAACTTCTGAGGTCCAAATGGGTCTCCAATTCCTTCAGGTGATTGGAACTGCTTTCTCTCGAAACCATCCCAAAAACGGAGACACCCAACACATACCCATCTGCCACATGTGCAGATTCGTGGGGACAAGGAATGCTCAACCTGAGGATCCGCTTTCCCCCCGCCTTTGGTGCACCAGGCGCTGCGGCTGCTGACTCGGAGCGCTCCGTGGCGCCCGCTGCTGGCGGCGCTTCGGCGCGAGGCGCTGGTGCTGGCGGCGGAGGCGAGAAGTTCTCGCCGAGCGCAGAAGAGCCCATCCCCAAAAAAGCCACTGGCTTATTAATCCGGGGCGAACATTACCCAACGCTGCAATGTTGGCAACAACTAGAAGGGGAGCTCCGAAGAATGGCATGAAGGCAACACCGGTGTTTGCCGCCCAAACCCGGATATGCCTTGATTCAACCCCATCGAGTCGAGGCTCATGTGCTTGCACCCTGCAGGTGGGACAGAATTCTTCAAGAAACAAAGATGCGTGACACGTGAACTGACGTGAGACCGGACGGATTGTGAAGCGGATGCACGCAGATCGCAGGCTTGGATGTGATTTCCAGGGGATGTGCCTAGCGTTCCCCAAGAATACCACGTGAGATGGTTTCTTTCGGGGTTGCCTCAGTCTCTGCTCAGAACCAGCAAGACTATCATACCTCACAAAAGGTCCTGGGTTTGGTCGGAATTTTCTTTGGGTGGGTTGGTTGCATGTTAGTCAGCAAGGCAACCACTATGGCAACCAGAGAGAACTTGCCCGAGACGCTGGGCAGGGCGAAAAGGAACACTCAGGCTATAGGTTCGGTTCATTCCTCAAACCCTTGAAATTCTCTCAGCGAGAAGTGGATGGAGGGGAAGTTCTGGCTTCTCGATCCTGAAAACCGACCGGGTGGTTTTCCTTTCGGCCCAGGAGCTGGCTTTGCAGCCGCTGGCTTCGCCGCAGGTGAGGATAAGTCAGGGCATTCCAGGGAACCTAAAACATGAGACCTTTGCACCATGGTCCCTTTTTGCACCATGCCTGACCCAACGCCCGTTTAAAACACGGAACCTTTGAACCTGCTTTTATTGTGGATTCGCTGAATCTGGAAGTGCGGATCGATCTACAGGGAAGCCGAAAGAACCCCAGGGATGCACTCACATTTCCCCCACGAGGTTCCCCAACAAAATGCCCTCCCCTGATCCCAACGGCCAAGTCGGGGGTTGGCGGGAGCCTCGGATCGCAACCGAAGGCGACGGCGGCGCTGGGCGTCCTGGAGCCCTACAGCAGCAAGCTGCGGCTGGAGCAGTTGCCGGCGAAGCCGGCGCCCACCTGCAAGGCGCGCCGCCGTTTGTTGGGGGCCGGGGAAAGCGCGGGCGGCTTTTGGGCGATTTGGTGCCGTTTTTTTTTTTTTTTTTTTTTTTTTTTTGCGGGGCATGTTTCGTTGGGTTGAAGTGTATTTTTTTGGATGTGAAGAAAGATTTGGCAAGGGGGGCTTGAGGGGTTTGTGGGCAGTGGGAAGTTTTTGGTTTCTTCTTCTTTTCATGGCGCGGTGTTGTGTGCAGGGCTTGCGCCTCCGCGCTGAGGTCATTGCGCTCTTCTTCTCCGTTCCCGGCAATGTGTCGGACGAGGTGCACAGGCGCCGGCAGTGTGGGTGGGTCTTAAAAGGGGGCCGAGATAGCGGAGTTGCTGCTTTTTTCAGTCACTGTTGCTGGGTTTTGGGGCAAAGTGGATGGAAAAAAACAGCAACTGGCGATCCAGGGGGGATGTTTTCAACAGCTGGAAGCCTAGGGGTTGATCCCAAACAAAGTGTTGGGTGGGGTTCCGGAGGTCCTATCCCGAAACATGGCGAGCGATCCCAACTCATACCGCCAAACTCGCAAATGCAGAGTTTCCAACATGTTCCGGGCACTTGCAAGCTGGCATCGACCTGAGGAGCAAGGTTGAGCCCTGTTTTACAAGGTCCTATCAGCATTGGTCCGCCCTAGTGGTCCGCTCAACTTTTTTCCCGGCTGCAAGCCAGGCTGGGATCTTGGTCTTGGACTCACAAAAGTTTCGGATGGGTTGCGGGGAGTTGTTGGGGGTTAGGAACCGCCAGTCAAGCCTCGATGCCTTGTATTCAGGCGCCAAGTGGGGGCTGCTGGACCAAGAGAGCTTGGCGCATTCTTCTTTTTGGCTTGGGGCTCGGATTACCAAAGATGGCTTTGCACAATCCGTAGAAACCATCAGATCATCACTCAAATTTTTCCTCACCCCCTGCTCGTGGTTGAGGTTTTGGAAACATGTTACATTCTTGCTTATTGTGGTTTAGTGGTTGAAATCCCCACTTACCTGCTAAAATATGTTTTTTTGCTCCCTGGGCATAGCGGGGAAACCACCCGGAGCACCTGCCCAACCACAGCCCTTTCCTTTGGTGCATTTTCCTTGGATGTTAGGACTTTAATGGGTTTTCCGAATTACACCACTAAAAGTTAAACGACTTTTAGCAGGGGAGCAGATTTCGCAACCGAGTTTCGCAGGAGTCACTCGGAAGCTCCGTAGGCGCCTGTCAAAGCTGGTCACCGACGTGTGGGACGCCCACGGTGGCGGCGCGCTGCTGGTCTGCGAGTGCCCGTTGGGCGAAGGCGCGCAGAGAAGGGCCGGCGGGAGGGGGGGTTCTGAAAGAATCTCCGTGGTGTTTTTTTTTTGGTTGGATCCTTTGCAGCAGGCTGGTGTAAAGCGAAACCAAGAAGGTTGCAGCAAACCACGATTTTTGAGGGGGTCCTGTAGCTGGACACATACACTTCCCCACGCTTCATCATGGGCGGCAGACATGGGAGTTTCGCAAGGCTATTTGTTGGATTATTCGGCAAAGGGTGCCACCTGAGAAGCGTGGGTCTCCTTTTGTCACTTTCAAGTTGTGTTTTCAATGTTATCAAGCTTCTGTCAAGTCAGGGCAAACCAAACGGCCTTTCGATGAAGGATTTATGTTCTTGTTGGTCTCTTATTTCAGGTTATGTTTCACCAACAACTTACCCGCAGATCAATGTCTGCCAACTTCTCCATACTGTCAGCCTTTTCCAGCAGTTCAGCTTCCACCAACTATCCGCTGAAAGAAACACTCCACGCAGCAGGCATCGGCTCTTATCCTACAAAGCACGGTTTTGTTGTGACTCACACAACAAATGGCTGTGGGTCAAAAAAAAGGTACTCAAAAAAATCAAAATGCAACCCTGGAAAATGAGCGAAGGACGAACACCTGCGGCCCGATTCCCGGTATTGAATTTTGACCCATACCCAAATAGACCGCATTTTTTCGGGGGGTGATTCTACGAACCACAAGGTTTGGCAAGCTTGCGGCAAAGTGCCTTTGTTTGGTCTCTTTCGGGGACAAGAAAGCGAAGAAAGGCGGGTGGACCTTTCTGGTTTTCCTTTAAACCACTCCCAAAGGAGGTGAAGACAAGACACCTCAATAAAGGTGGGTTAACCTTTTCCCTTAAACCACTCCCATAGGGGGCTCTTTTCGTGGATGGCCAGGCCCGGCACGGGAATGGGCGGTCTGCGGCGACGCGGGGCTGGCGCGGGCCTACGGCCTGGAGGCGAGAGGTTTGGGGATCTCGTTTCGCTTCGGCTCTGAGCGCCCGAGACCTCGGTGGAAAGCAGCGCCACCTCGGTGGTGCGAAGGGTTTGTTTTTTTTCTTCATTTTTTCCTCCTTGTTTTCTTCTTTCTTCTTCCTTTTCTTCTTCCCCCGCTCTGTGCAACAAGCAGTATACGCGGAAAAAAAAAAACAAACAGATACAACGGGAAAACGGCGTTCTGTCTTTTTATCCGCTGATACAGGGTGATGCTCAGTTTGAAATTAGCGCCACTTTAGGAAATGCTTCTACCTTTTTTCATAGCGTGCGTGATACGCAGCTGGGATATTGATGAAAGTGGAAGGTTCGATCTCCCCCATTTATTGGTCCTTTCCGGTCACTCCAGTTGAACATAGCTGGATTCCGCTGAGTTTGGTTCGATGCTCATTTCCCAGTTCTGGGTCGATGCTTGGGACCATCAGAGACATCTTTGCCTTGCCTGTTGTTGGATCAAGTTTTTAGGTTCTTGTTGGATGTTCGGTTCTGTTCATCTTTGCTAGGTCTTGTGAAAGTTGCCCTTGACTCAAATGAACAAAGAACATATTTGAGTCCTGAATGTTGAAGACCCCGGGCTTTGCCTTGCTAGCTTGGGTCCCCAAGCCGCCCTGTCTACTTTCATGATCGCGGAAGGAAAGACGGGTTGCGCACTTGTTTTTGGTCTCATACTGCGGATGGACGAACTCACTTTCAAGCTGCGAAGTCGTTTTTTTCTTCTTTTTCTCCTGGCTGAGTCGACTTAGAATCCGTTGGGTTTCGGAGGTGGTGCGATTTCTGGATTTCGCCACCATCCACAGCATGGAACCTCCCAATGGTTTTCCCTTCAAGGCCTTTGGGGAGTTGAACCGAACCGGCTGATCCTGTTGGGAACCTGCCTGTGGCTTTTTGGTCGTCAGCCCGGACGGAACGCGAAATGGTTGTGGCTTCTGTGGGTCCAATTCTCATTCCCTGCCCATGTGTTTGCTTGCTTGCTTGCTTGCTGGCTTGGCTTGGCTTGGCTTGGCTTGGCTTGGCTTGGCTTGACTTGGCTTGGCTTTGCTTTGCTTGGCTTTGCTTGTTTGCTTGCTTTGCTTTGCTTTGCTTTGCTTTGCTTTGCTTTGCTTTGCTTGCTTTGCTTGGCTTGGCTTGCTTGCTTTGCTTTGCTTTGCTTTGCTTTGCTTTGCTTTGCTTTGCTTTGCTTTGCTTTGCTTTGCGTTGCTTTGCTTTGCTTTGCTTTGCTTTGCTTTGCTTTGCTTTGCTTTGCTTGCTTGCTTGCTTGCTTGCTTGCTCTTTTCAACATTTGCCGAAGAAAAACTCCGAACCTGAATAAACTTCCATGTGCTCCAGAGCATGTGCTATTGTATATTCCGCCAGTTTGTTTTCAAGGGATCGAATTCACCACTCCCAGAGGCTCCCGATTGATTTACGGCCTTCAAACAACTTGGTTTTGAGACCCCCAACCACCTTCTGGGGTGTCTAGTGGAGGGGTCGGGTCTTCCACTGAAAGCCGAAGCCAGGAGCCTCTGGGCTGGACAAATTTCTTCCAAGTTTTCGAAGAAACCTGTCGCTCAAACTGCCGAGGCCGCCCAGGAGCCCAAGGTGCTGCTCTTCCGCGCCGACGGCCGGATGCTGACGGAGGAGCCCGAGCCGCGAGCCCGGCAAAGGGAGCCCAACCGTTGGAGTTTGGGGAAGCCCAGGTCTTTTGTTTTGGATGTCCCCAATTTATGTCTCGTTTTTTTTTTTGGGGGGGGATATGTCTATTTTTGAAACGTTTTGAATTTTTTAGGGGGGGGGGGTTTCTGGCAACTGAACATTGCCCCTCAAAAAGCCTGTGAACGCGCATGGCACATGTCTCTTTGTTAAGGCAAGTGTTTTGGGGTCGCACATGTTTCTTTGTTTACGCGGATGACCAAACCTTCCATGGGGAGATTTGCCGAATTGCGCCTACTTTCACCCCCCGCTGGACCAGACCGAACTCGTTGGCTCACCTTGTTCAACTCTCGGCCCGTCTGCTAGGTCCCCCAGTGCCCTTTTAGTGTCTTTTTTTGTGGAGGGTTCCCCGACTAAAATAGACTAGAGAAAAAAGACGGTAGCCTTATTCTAACCTCTCGACTGGAGGAAGTCTGGGTTTCGTTGGTTTTCAACCAGCCAAAGGCCAAGTCTCTGCAAGGGCTCGGATCAGTCTGGCAAAGAACCGATGGCCATGGCCCACCAAGAGACATCGACATCCCTGCGTAGGACACCCGTCTTCTCGATAGCCTGAACATATGTAGTCTTTTGGGACTTGAAGCTGCCATTTCGTATGTCAACTTTTGAATAAGACACAGCTTAAAAGGGGCCCTTATAAAAGAGTGGTTTGAACATCACCCTGTGTGTTGATTGAGCTTTGGGGCTGGGAAAAAAATGAAGGGACGCCAAAGGAAACCACCCGTTTTGGGGGTGCATCTCCTGTGGAATGAGATTGGCGGGATCCGACAGCTTGACGATCCGCAGTTTGCGGGGTTTATTCGGCACTCCCCAAGCGCCAAAGTGAAAAAAGTTACGGCAAGTGAGCTGGAGTGAATCGTCCGTCCTCCAAGAAGGATTTGGTACCATGTTCTTTCACCCGGGTGTACAAATATGGCTGTGGCTCAAGAATCCGGTTAAATGGAACCCTGGTAAGTGGAGACATGGACCAAAACCTGCGGTTTGCCCCCCCCCCCCCCCCCCCCGAGCCACACCCATATGATGTTTGTATACACATGGGGGTACGATCTTAAGTTTTCCGTCAAGGTGCCTTCCAGACTTCCTTTCTTCGAGGCCACCGATCAGAACTGCAGGCAGCCCTTCTCCTAAAGCCGCAAGCAGGGATAGATGATCGAAAGGATCTTTTGCCTGTACAGGAATATCACCCCCCCACAAAAACAACAAAGACATAAGCAGGAAAACCACACAAACAACACCTAAAACCGAAGTACAGAAGTTTCAACAAGGAGGACTGTGACGCCATGTTCTCTTCTTTTTTTAAGACTTGCGCTCGCTTTTGCGCCAGGAGGGCCTCCAGACGCTGGTGCGGGATCCGACTGGCAAGGACTTCCCCTGGGACCCCGCAGGCGTCCGCCTGGGCCGTTTGGGCGTAGCACAGCGGCACCCCTTTTTTTGCTTTTGTTGGGGGGGCGGGGGGAGGGCTCCAGGATTGGTTTGGAGAGGTGGCTGTTCGGAACCGTTTTTTTTTTTTGGCAGGGGAGGCGACTTTCAACGTTTGCTGATTTGAGGCTTTGATGTTCTTGTGGCTCGCGACTGGCATCCTTCTGCTGACTTCTGTTTGCTTGAGATCATTTGTTTCCGCTCATTTTTGGTTTCAAGGGAACTGGCCTATAAATGGAAGGGGCTTGCCTCAAATCCCGAGTGATTGTTTGGCAGGTTGATGTTCAGTCCGGCTTGCGGGAGAAGGTGGGACCAAGGAGCCGATGAAATCAACGATCAAACGGGAACTTGAGGCTCGTGATTTGTTGCTCTTACGACCTTTCACCTATCAATCATTCGACAAGATGACAGCTTCGGGGGCAATGGGTGCATTCGATTTGCCATCCCAAGGGAAATTCAAAGGGAGCCACCTCACATGCTTCACTAGTTGGCAACCGGCTTTCAAGATGTGACGTGGTTGGCCATGCGCGGGTTTCTCAAAAAGGTGGTCTGGCTGATTTCCTTTTGGCTTTCCCTTACCAAGCTGAGGTCTTCCTTTTGTTTTTCCTTTTGGTTCCAACCCTCTTGGGCGTGCCCTTTTTGCCAAACGGAACACCACCCATTTTCAGCGTGCCCCCCCAAAAGAAACAGGCACAACACCGGAACAAAGAAGAAGAAAGAGCACCAACGGAACACCACAACACCTCGTCCTCTTTCTTTTTTGCGTGGCGCTCCGACCTCCCCCCAAAAGAAAGCCGAAGAGAAAGCCAAAGTTCGCGAGAGAAGTTCCTCTCGCCCCAGGCGACTTCCCCGAAGCCCCCCTTTCCGATCCGGCGCTCGGCGCCTCCTCGGCTCGGCTCGGCTCGGAACTCGCGAGGCCTGGCGGCCTCGGACGTGGCGCTGCTGCGCTTCGGCTGCCGATCCGTGGCGCTGCGGCGCAAGGACTTCTCTCGCGCGGTCCTGTCGTTCGGAGAGGCGCTGGGAGGCGGAGGTCTCCGGTGCCCCCCGACTTTCCTTTTTTTTGGGTGGGGGGGGGGGGTGAAACTCTGCCAAGAAACAAGAGGGCCCTTTTTGCCTTGCTTGGTGTTTGGAGGGACAGCCCTGTAACATCAACCCCCCACGAAAAAAAAGGAGTGCCCATCTTGTTGTTGTTTTTAGGCATTTTATTTGTTTTTTAGGGGGACACTCCTTCAAACGCAACTGCCAAAAAAAGCAAGACTGCCCTTCTTCCGCTTTTTTGGAAGGGGGACAGTCCTTTACACTCAACTCCAAAAGGTGTGGCCTTCTTTCCTTTGTTTTAACCTTCGAACTCAACTACCCCAACAAATAGAACACTTTCAAGAAGCTTCCTTTTGGGCCACTGGGGGTCCGGGCAACCACTCACCTGCTGTTCTCAGAGCCGCGCTTTTCGGCTGTTCGGCTTCCGGAAACTCGCGGCAGCTCGGGGCGCGGCTCGGAGCGGAAGGACGCTGCGGAGCTGGGCCGCGTGGCCAAGGCATCGATCCGGAGCCGGAGCCGGAGGGGTCAGGCGAAGGAAAGGGGGGCTCGAAATGCGAAATGCGGAGATGTGAGGGGATTGAAGCATCAACAGGGGGCTGGATGATATGAGTGAGAATGCATTGAGTTCTCGATTCACTTGGTGTTAAGGTTCTGGGGGTTGTGGTTTGGGGGTACTACGGAAGCCTGTTGCCCTTGCAGTTGGGGTACCTTGTGCCCAAAGGGCCTTTGCTGCAGCCCCATACATGTTGTTGGACTCCCATTCGAACGCGTAAAGCAACAAGCCGATCCCCGTGCTTTCAATCAAAGCAGTTTGCATGTGTCCTTTTGTGAAAACCCACGCCCAATTGTGTTTTTCACAAGCAGGGCAATTTGATGATTTGCATTCAACGCAATCAAGTTACGTGTTTGTTCGTCCGTCCGACTGTTTGCTTGCTTGTTTGTCTGATTGTTTGTTCGCTTGTCTGCTTGCTTTGCCTTTTTGCTTTGCTTTGCTTTCCCAGTGGATCCCAACTACCATTGTTACCACTCTAGTAGGTAACCAACCATTTTGCTTGTGTGTGTGTTTTTAAAGATTGCAGGGTGGTTCCCTTGGTCAGCCGTGGGTTATTGGACCCACTGGCGAGAGCACCCCCTTGGCGTCACCGGCCCATGGGCCGCAGGCCGTCCACGTGCTCGCCGTAGAAGCGCCGCTTCCGGAGGAGAGGCGAGGGCCCGGTTTTGGGGCGGGGCGATAGGTTGACCTCTGCCATTTTTTTCTTTGGTGCATTTTGCCAAGGGATGTTGGGACTTTAACTTTTTGCCAACTAGTGGGTTTTCCGTATTAAACCACTGGACACCTATGCGGTTGGTTTTGGCCCAAGCCTGCCATTCTGTAGCTCTCGCAGCTCTCGTTGTGGCCCTTGAAGCCATGCGGAAACGCGCGGACATGCACCCACGCTCCACCTTGGAAACCAGCTCACGCGTTTCGGCGCCGACTCACTCACTCCAACAACACAACACAAACTAAGACACAGTATATACCTCAAAGCCAGCCAAAAGCGGACTAGCCGGGGTACGCGAAGAGTGTACAATTAGTCAATCCCAGTGATGATTCCGCACATTTCACTGAGGGACACCCCCCATGAATAAACTGGGGTTGATTAATATGGGGTCAACATTAGGGAGTGAGAAATTCCTGAATACAGGAAACCACCAGTTTGGTTTATAGGGATCATTCGATTTTTCATTCCCTGCTGACCAGCAAGTTTTAGTCCACAAGTCCAGATCAACAAAGATTGAGCTTTTGTTTCCAGGTCCTTTGGATAAGAACTTCCTTGTTTGGATACAGCAATCTTGACAAACCTATTCACTCACGGTCCCTCATGTGAAGACGTACGGCGACCTTTTCTCGGGGCCCTGGGGCAAGTTGTCACAATTTCGCCCTGACTTAGACTGATTCGGCCATGCACTTTTTTTCGGGAAGCACCTCTATAATAGTTGATGGACATGTCCCTAAATTCAATATTCATGCCCATTTCTCGCTTCCTGAGTTCATGGACTTTAAACTTTTCGGGGACCATTTTGGTGTAAACAGTTTTTGACTGTTTTTGGGCCATCCACTTGGGAAGAGAGATTTGAAGAGCTCTTTGGCGGCTGTCCTTCTGGCATTTCTTTGTGGGTCGCCCACTTGGAGACGAAGCCATCGGGTTTTTGCCCTTCTGCACTGCTTTGTGAATCGCTCAATCAAACGCATTCTGAGCATCTGGCGAAGGTGTGACACGTTCTTGGCTTTCATGTTTTTCAGTGGTCACGGCCTCGCGAGCACGTGTATCTCGGCTCGCAGGTGCACGTAATTTTGGTCTCGCCTGCGCATGTATTTTGCTTTTTCGTGGCAGGCACGGTACTTTGGGCAAGTCTTCGTGGGTCTCGCCGCGCATGAAATGCTTGCGCACAGGCAAAGCGCACGAGTCTCGCACGCGCATGCAATCAATACGCACAAGTCTTGCACGCGAATGCAAGCCTGCCATCCATGCTTAATGTCCCGCAGGGTGGTCTGGCGCAGGCCAGCTGAAAGGCCCAAGCAAGGTTCCGGGGCGCGCCCGCGCGCCAAATTAGCACGGGAATGCTGTTGAAGTGACCTGCGAGGCGCAGTTTTGGAGCTGGATTCGTGGCAGGCGCAGTACTTTGAGCGACCACATGCTCCTTTGAGATCAGAATCGTCGCGTGCTCCTGTGAGTCCAAAATCGCGTGCTCAGATTAGGCCCCAACCATCTTCCTTCCACCTGGACCTTCGTCCTCCTGAACCAAAACAGAGTTTCAGCCTTCGAACAGCGTGCCAAGCGCCGCAAGACCATGCAAAAGCAGCTCGCTGCCCTTCAGCAGAACAAGCCTTCATTACTTTCTGACGAAGGCTTGTTGCCGGTGTGGCGCTCAAATGGCCCAGAATGGCAATCGGGCTGTTGGCCTGTATGACGAGAACCACTTTTTGTCTTGTCCAATGGCGAAGGTTCTGGCTTCAACGTGTGCGTACTGGCTAAATTTCAAACAGTCGTTGGGGACTGTTCCCAGGAGACTGCGTAGCAAGGACGACGGCAAGCCCCTGGAAAAGGAAGTCTAATGCGACGTGCAAATGGCGGCTGTTTTGCAGAGCCTGCAGCCCCGTTTGAATTTCTTAGGAAAATTCTCAAAAAAAGTGCGCGGCGGGAGCAGCGGGCAGCACATCCTGAAGCTCTTTAAACAAAACTCTTTTCAATGCCCACGGCCTTTCCCAGCTTGTGAAGGTTTTGGGGGGGCGTCAACAACTTCACGCAGCGCGCACATTTGTCCAGACATGATCCAAAGTTGCGCGGTTCAGAAAGAGGCATCGCAAATCTCACGCGCATTTGAAAAAGTCCGCAAACTCCCGCAAACTCCGAACAAAGACTCGTAGCTTTGATGGTCCAGGCAGCTTAGCTTTGTTGGTCGAGGCAGCTTACGGGTATCACTGGCACATTGGCAAGCACTGTGAGGTGCATTGATCTTGCAAGGCCACCGTGCCTCAAAACATCGGAGTACTTTACTGTTGAAAGGATGCCTGGAAATCCGGGCTGTCAACCCAAATGATGTCCCTCGGTCCGGCAAGATGAACTTCTGAAGCTGTGACTGGAAGCCCTTCGCTTCGGGAGATGGGGGCAGCTAGCAAAAAATGGGCGTGGCTTGGACTCATCGGCTCATTTGGTTGAATTTCTGCCCAGTTTCCGGCAGAGACATGAGGAGCTGAGTCAAGGGTATTATTCACTTGCATTTGCACTTGGTTACTCTTGTGTTCTCCCGCAGCCACGGTCATAACTTACAACCTAAGCCTGTCCTATTAATAGGGTGGTGCCCCCTCCGAATGTGATGTCCGTTTAAAGATTTCACCGGCTAATTTCGAGGATCCAAATCCTTGCAAAGCAGGCTATTTTTAATTTTCCGTAAACGCACATGGACCTGCACCTTCAATTGGGACATGGTCTAGGAACCTCCGTGCAGGTTCCATGTTTGCTTTTGGGAGGGTATCTCCTGCCACAACTCTGATACACCCCAAGCAGAGTTTGTTGGGAGTCCCACCCCAGCACGAGCAGTGCTATGTGCCGAGCTGGTGACATTCTGCTTGAGGCATTCTTTGGCAAGCTGAGCCATGAGGAAAGGAATGAGAAGGGAAGGCGTGGCAACAGAGAACACGAGATATGTGTGGGCACTCTACCCAACAAATGCCCATGTTGTCAGTTTTTTCCGTCTTCCTGTTCTTTCTTTTAGCAGGCTGCCACAACACACATGGGTATGGGTCGAAATTAAGCCGCCAAGAATTGTGCCGCAGGTTTTGGTCCTTTCCATTTACCAGGCACAACCAAAAATTGCACCGTCTTTCGGTGCTAGCCCCAGGGGTGGCCACTCTAATTCCCCATTCTTTCCAACCATCGTTCTTTTCGAACACCGGATCCGTTGTCCCTGGGTTTCCGGGAATTTCTAGAAAGATTCGGATCCTTGGAAAGAATGGAAATGGAAGGTAGCACTAGAAACTCTCCCACCGGAAGGCGCATCTTCTCCCCGGCGCCAGGCGCGACCTCAGCTGGCGCCTGCCCGGCGCCTGCGACGCCTCGAGCGCCGCGCTGGCGCGGGGGGAGCTGCTGAAAGCCGCGGAGGCGCCGCGACACAGCCGCGTGCTGCCGGCCTTCGGGGGTTTTGAGGATACGCTTTGCTGCCCCAGTGTTTGGGGATATAACGTTATAGTGGATACGGTTTTTGGGGACACGGCTGGTTGGGGCCGTGCGATGGCTTTGGGGTGGTTTTGTTTTTGTTCGGGGTTGTCTTTGGCCTCTGGGGTGGGGATTGGGGTGATGGGGGGCGTTGTCTGTCAGGTTCGTACAGCAGGCCCTTTGAACAGATGGCAGGTCAGGGTCGCAGAAAGCGCCCTGAACGGATTTGAGCCGCTCAATGCTGCTGTGGATGGACGAGCTCCTGCACCACTGTGAAAC